TCACGGATTAAATTTTGTATTTACTTCTTAGTAAAGAAGTTTATCCATTTTATAAAATACAAACGTTTGATGACTTAGATGTTATCTTTATCGTTATGCACCATCGCCATACGCTAAGAGCTTTACAACTTGATTTGTACTACGTAATAATAAAATATCGATATCGATATGTACAGTAGAAAATTTGCTTTTTCTAATTACACTGAAGATCAATTTACGATAAAAATAAATTTATAACGATAACGATAGTTCTTATAATATTTATTAAAATTAACTTTTTTTAATTGGACTGGTACTAATAACGATAGCAATACATAGCGATAGTCACCAAAGATCAATTTTTTCCGATTTACGATAAAAATAAATTTACGTTCTTTTGATATTTATTAAAATTGACTTTTTTTTAATTTGACTTGTACCAATAATAAAATATGTAGAAAAATCAATTTTTTATATATTTACTTAGTCACCAAATATCTATTTTTTCATTAATTTTTGAGAAAAATCGATTTTATATTTTGCGATACATGTACATTTGCGGATTGCAATTACGTATTATATTAACTATGACACCTTCTTTAATCGAGACGAGCATAGTTGCAGATTTATTAAAATCAGCTAGACTTTGTTCTAACCTGGGTTTCTTTATTAGTAAGTGAGAAATTAGCCTATGAAGCTGATATCTATCCGTTAGTAGTAATTAAAGGCTCAAGTCTAACATCGAAACATTTGGATTAGGGAGTATAAACGAGGTATATACGACTGTATTTTCACAATCAGTGTTGTTCCATCAAAAGCAGAGTATAAGGTTATCACAGCACCATGTTTTGGCGAGGCCATAATAATAAAAATGAAAAATTTTGTACTAACGCTAAATACGTAGTTGGTACAGAGAGACAACCATAAATTATACGTACTTTTGGCTAATCACAATCTTTTTTGATTACGTACATACATATAATATAACGATAAAATTAATTGTGAATGGGCTAAATTTAGTATGTATAATCTTTACACAGTATCAATTTTCAAAATACATGTACGTAGTTTTAAACGAATCACGTGATTTATGATTTTAGACAAATAATTTCATGTGAAAATTAACGTTAACTATATTTGTTTAACAATTGAGCCTATCACTACTTTTATCGTTATTAGATCTTTTCTCATTATCGTGAACCAAAAAAATGGCATTGTGTTTTTAAGTTTGATTATAAATAAATATTAACCTTATTTGACCTCGTACTAGGTTACCAGTTAACTTAACCAATTACGTAAATGCCTTATTTGTCTTTGAATGTTATTCTGAAAACGACTTTCTATAAATAAAAATTGGCATTTGTAATTTTGATAGTTAATCATAAAAAATCGTGCAATTTCGTACGTTTTAATGACAAAATGTTATAAATTACGCAATCCTTGTCGAAAGGTTACGTATCTTAATAACAATAACGATAATGCTAAATACGTATCGGTATAAATGTAAATACGTACTAAGACTTGCGCCGCAATATCCTGACGCAAGTTGCAGATTCTCAACTCCAAATCTCTTGATTTGGACAAGCCAAAATTGTATAACCTTACGCAAATAAATATGATACATGTACGTACTTTCAATCTGACGGCACTATTAATTGGATGTCGGGAAAAAGTTGGCAACTCGGAGATCAATTTAACCTGTAATTAAAGTGGTACAACTTTTTTTGGTCGTGTGCTTTTAAACTTTCGTATCTATACGAAAATGACATCATATTTTGTTACATGTTTGTGACTTTGTCTGAAAATTTTCGTCATCATGTTGCTTTATTGTTATATTTTCTTTTAGTATTAGCTACTATTTTTGTGATCAATATTTACCAATTTCATGTGTGTGATGGAATAATATTTGAAGATTTTTCGCTCGTCTTTTTATCTGGCGTTACGTGATGAAAACGAGATTCTTCCGGTTGTGTTACTCGTTATGGAAATTATATGTATATGTATACGGGACCAAAAAGGACCATAATTGAGAAAGTAGTACAAGTTCATATTTGGAACTAATATACGTATTCAAAGCTGGCATTTTTGATTACCCATTTGTTTGTTAACTCTTTAATTCTATTCGATCAAGAATTTTCCCAGTTCGGGCCTTTGTAGTCCCGCAGATATTCTCTATAAATGAAAACTTTCCTCCCAATTCTACATAGAATCTTCCTGTCGTAATCGCTGGTACCAATTGCTTTTACAAATTCCGGTTCTGTAATTAATTATTATGAAAATGGTGAACATTTTTACCATAGTTATTGTTATTCATGCTACGTATTCTAAAATACATGTAATGGTAATATTAAATTTCATTTATAGATTGATGCAGATGAAAAGAGTGAAACATTGGATTTTTCCAAGGTATGTATTATACTAAAACGCTAAGCAATCAATTGATTCGTTACACACTTAGCGAAATACGTATTTATACGGCATTTTTTTAATGAAGGGTGTTGACCCTCTAGGAATGGCGTTTGTAGTTTTTCCCAAAGAGCTTGAAATGCTAACGTCGGACGACGTAGAAAGATTCAGCAGTGAATTAAAGGAGAAAAATAAAGTATTAAAGATTATTTTGGATGAATCGGGAAATAGAGCAGTATCTTTACTTAAAGATGAAAAAGAAAATGACCTTAAAAATTTTAAAGATATGATTGAATGGAGACAAAATAATCCTGATTGCGATATGGAAGATGCGATCAATTATTTCGGTAAGTGATTATGTTTCATTACCGTCATAGCCTTTATATACTTCTTTATACTTATCGACATTTACACCACCACACCACCATTGTATAGATAAAGTATCAAAAGTCGCTGATGTTTTCGCCAAAATCATTTACGAATACGATTATCCCGATTACGTTCTTAAATCACCCATCACGACAAGAATAAAACAAGAAAACGACAATGATAATGATAATGTACGAATAGAGATTAAAGAAATTAAAACAACAAAAAACGAGGGAAACGAAGAAGATAAAGTCAGAGAAAAATACACCGACATTGAAGAACGTAAACAATTTGAGTTTTTACTTTTGTTGTCGGGTTTAATATTGGAGCACGAAGATGATTTAGAGAGAGGATACACTTATGTGAAGGTTTGGTCACCTTTTTATAAACTATGCGAAGCTGCCGAACATATGCGATTAAAAGTTGAACTAGAGGTGAGTATCTCATTTTCTAATAAAAGGACGCGTATGTTACCAATAATATATTAATATTTATTGATTCCTTAGACAAGAAAAGTCGAAGAAAAGTATAATGAAAAAGAAGAATCAGAAATTATAAGTTTGAATGAAACCGTGACGACAATGGAACAAACGCTTCTTTTACCCAAAGAAAGCTCTATGGACAATAAACCAAAGTTAATCGAAAATGAACAATTCAATAATAGTTTAATACTCAAGTATTCGACTCGTCATTTCCACCATAAAATAAATATCACAAAAAAATCGATTTTGTTCAGAAAGGAAAATCTAAAGGATTTCAAAGGGGCATATTGCGACAATTGGAGTCATCTAGTGTTGAACTTTTGGAGTGGATCGCGACGAAATCTTTTAGTATGTATTACCACTTAAATCTTGATACTTTACCTATAAATGCTGATAGTTTTGCTCGTTTGCCACTCTCTTTAGACGCATTACCTGATCATAAATGCTAATGGTTTTCGACTCCAAATAGAAGGAAAACAATCAGAGAAACAACGAATATTATCATTGGCTTTTGATGCATTAATACAAAAGAAGATTTATGTTAGTCATTTTCCGCTTCACTACGGACCTCCATATAAAAGACAAATTAACGACGTGTGCGCGAAATTAAATGAAATTGTAATTAGTAAAACATTATTAAACGAAAAAGAAGAGAAGGACGTTAACAGCAGTAACAATATCGATGATAATGACGAAGACAGCGATAACGCGAAACGAAAACTAAATATGAGAAGTGAACTATATTCATATTTGTTTAAACCACGGTCACTTGAAAAAATTCGGGAATATTTTGGCGAAAAATTGGCACTTTATTTCGCGTGGCTTGGTAAATAATTAATTCGTCATTTCACGCAATTTTTGTCGCGTAATTATACACTAATTGGTGGCCTTGAATTAGGATTTTATTCGTCATGGTTATTAATTGCCACGATATTAGGTGCTATAACTATATTATATGGTGTGATTGATGCAGCAAGGTAAATAAATTATAGTAAAGTTTTTTTCCAATTTCTTGCGAAGTGATATTTAATAAATATTCTAAATCTTCTAGTAAAGGTGAATTTAACAATGGATTTTTTGGAATCTTTAAAATTTGGGATAATGCCTTGACCTTACCATTCGCATTATTACTTTCGATATGGTGTAAGTGTGTTCAAATAATCTTACGCGTATACTATTTTTAATGTTGTTCTGCTAATACTTTTCGCTTGTTCTTATTTAGCTACATTGTTTTTGGAATCTTGGAATCGATATAATTCTGCTCTTGTTAATGAGTGGGGAATGTCTGAGTTTGAAATGGAGAGACAACCACGACCATTCTTTATTGGAACGAGTAAGAATAATTTGTCATCTTTCATTTCAATGCTAATTATAACTTTTTCAATATATGCGTGCTAATAAAATTTCACTTGATTCGTATTCGTATTTGTAGTTTTGCGCGACCTATTAATATCACCAAATCGCGATGAAATTCGCTTTCCATTTAAAAAGAGAATACAACGAAACATTTTGTCGATAAGTATAATAATTATATCTGTAAGTATTCAAGAGAATATTCCTGATTTTTTTAGATTTTCTCTTTATAATTTTTTATAAATTTAATTTTACAGATTTTAATTGTTCTCGTGTCAATTGGAAAATTACTGCTCTTCTCCAAAGTGTGGTTCAATTTTGGGGTGTGGAGTAGCCTTTTCTCGAGTTTGATTAATTTGGCGTTGGTTATTATGCTTAGTGCTGTATGTATGCTACATATATTTTTGATTGAAGTTTCGGATATTTCTATGTGCTTATCTGTAGTCTTTTTTGTTACTTCGAACAGGTTTATGGAAAAATTGCAAAGATAATGACTGATTTCGAGAATCATAAAACTGTCACAAATTATGAAGGTATTTTTATAACCAAATAGTATCTATTTGTTGCTTTCTATCATTATTTGTTACAATTATTAATGGTTGATTTATCTACTTTCAAGATTCGTTAATACTTAAACTATATCTATTCGACTTTGTGAATTTTTATTCGGCACTTTTTTATATTCTGTTATTCAAACAAAAGGTAATTATCAATTAACAATATCATTTGCATTATGAGCTTACTTGAACTAACCGAATTTACTTTTTGTATTAGTTTTCTATGAAACTCTTGTATGGAGATGACACTGCAGAAGGATGTCAATACCATAGTTGTATGATTGAACTCACTATCCAGCTTGCTGTTAGGCTTATTGGCAAACAATCAGTTGATCAATTCAAGCAACTTTCAATGCCGTACGTATTCATTATGATCCATGCTTATGACCTCTATCCAATTATTCAATTTTTTTCTCAATTTTAGATGGTTCATACTCAAATTTGATAACCTATACAATCGGTATCCTTGGATAAATCCTCTTTTCTTCCTATCATTTTGTTCCTCCTCTTCATCACGCCGATTCTCCAAGCCGAAAATAAAATCCAATGAAGCTGAATGTAATGATCATAAGCAATGGATAACGGATGATAAGCTGTTATCATCAAATAACGACGATGGTATTAGATCAGATTACCAAGAAATGGGTAAGAAAAAAACGGTATTTTTATTATTGGTTTTTTTACTTTCTGTGATTAACGAAATTTCCCTTGATTTTATTAGTTGTACAATTCGGGTTTATTTCGTTGTTCTCCACCGTGTTTCCATTAGCACCATTATTCGCGTTATTAAATAATCTTGTGAAAATTCGAACGGACGCATACAAGGTAAATAAAATCAAAAACCACGCATGTTTGAAAAGACTCGAATTCAAGCTGATCCTGACCAATTAAATGAAATTCTCAGTATATAACCGTGATGCAACGACCGATCGGTTTTCTCGCTCAAAATATCGGAATGTGGGACACGATTATCCATGTGATTTCGTTTTTGTCTGTACTGACGAATGCGACGATAGTCGCATTTCATTCCAGTTATATGCAACGCGTTTTTGAAGTGTATGCTCAGACAGATTATCAGCTGTTGGTTATTCGTGTAGCGTTTATTTTCGCTTTCGAGGTAAATAGAGTTTTAATTATGAACAATTCCTAATCTTTTCCAACTCTAACTCGATTATCTTCCGCATAAAAAAGAATATCGTCTTGATAGCGAAATTACTATTCAGATGCTTGCTTCCTAAAGTACCAAATGTCGATAATGTCCAAACGATCACCCAACGGATAAAATCCATTTCGAAAAAAGAACAAGAGTCTTCACTTAAGCCTAGACTATCTAATTCCCTTGACGACGGACGTAAGAAATTACGACTGGCTCGTCGTCTATTAACCATTTATGGACAGGACGAGGTAAAAGTCCTCTTGCCGAAACAGAAGACGGACTGACTAAAATAAAAAATAAATGGACTTTATATAATTTTAAATAGATTTTAACCTTAATTGCATCCCTCTTGTGTATTGTATTAATTCCCTTTCATCCCTCCCTTAAGCACACCCTTTCTTGTATATTCCTCCTACCCTTTCTTCTTCCTATACCTTAAAGTTTTGTATGTATATTAGATTTATATATAGGGAAATTTGTTTCCAATAAATTTATGGTTTTTAATAACGGTAACATCGTTGTACCAAGCAAACAAAAAAGTCGTTTCTCTTTAATTCTCTGTTATTCATACAACAAATAATCTTTTCGCAGTGGAAACATATGTTGAATGAATTTGGGGATCGAGATGGAGAAACTGCAAGGTCAATCTTGCCATCAAAAAACTCAACGATTGAATGACACGAGAAATTCTGAGATGTCTCGCAAGAATCCTGAGATTATATTTCTTATTTTAATCTTTTGAGATATTCACTATGATCTTGTTCTTATTTTATTTGTAATTGAATTTCTATTGTATGAAAGGAGTTTCTTGGAGAATCAACTTTAGGAATCGAAGACAAATATAAATATGCCAGCATAGTACATGTATAGCAAGTGAGATCAAATTTATGACTTGAACGATTTTGAAACTGATACAGTTAATTAAAAAGAGGAGGTTCAAGAAGCCCGAAACGTCACAACAATTGCCTCATCAAGCAGCTTGAGTAGGCACATAGCGGCAAGATTAAGCCTCGGAGTTCAGATAGAAAAAGTTTTTTTGAAGTGGTTTTATTGGTTTTCTCCTAATTCAATGAATTATTAGTTGTTTCGCACAGTCGATAAAAATAAAATCTATAGGGCGCAATAAGAAAAGGCCTTACTTCGTTGAGTAGCTTGGCTTTTGTGTTGATCGAACTATCACTATTGAGCTCGTGAAGGAACTCGTACAGCCACTTCCCTGCAATTTGATCAGAAATATTTAATCGTAATATGGACCTAGAAATTGAAAGTTGCTTTGTTGTTGATGAAGTGTACCAACGACAACAGGTCTGTGACAGAGTAGAAAATTGGCTTCTATGCCATCGACGGAACACCAAACTTTTGTATCAGAGCTTCTACTTGATCAACCATCAATATCTTAACAAAATGCATTACGTAGTGAGCAGTAAATTGAGATTTTCTCTATATTGAAATTTTCAATTTTATTAATAAATAAAGTTTGTTTTTATATTAAAAAGTTTTTATAAGCGAAAAAATACTTTAGAATTGGATCTAAAAATCTAACAAAATATATATAAGCAGAAATTTTTATTAATAAAATTAAAACTTACATCTAAGGTAAAGGGGGGTATTGTGGCGAATGGGTATTATGGTGTTTTTAATATTTTAAGAAATTACCAATATATTTTAAAATATAAATATATAAATATATACAAGTTTTAAGCACAATATTATTACCATAGTTTATCTTTTTTTATTTATTATGTTTTATCCGCTACATACCCTCTCCCATCAACTACAATACCCTCCTTTACCTTATACAGTGGGCAACATACAAAATCGTGGACAGCATACAATACTGCGCAAAACGCCAAAATTTATTGTAGATTTTATTAATTTGACCAATCAGAATTATTTATTTTATATTCATTATAATTTATTTATTGAAATTAATATTAATTCTTGAATAATAATATTTAAAAAATATAAGTATTTTTTGTTAAAATTATATTTTTAATTTTTATTCATTTCTAATATTGTTCCTTAAATTATTAGATTTAGTATATAAATTATATATTAAAATTCTATAAATTCATATCTAATTTTACCAAAAATTAAAATTAGTTTTAATTATATATTATATAATACAGTGACAATCAGAAATAATGCAACAACATCAAAATTTATTAATTAAACATAGTAAAATGCAAATTTTTCTTTATATAAAAGTTTTCAATTTTACTAATAAATATTTTTTATTTTTACATTAAAATGAAGATAATATCACATATT